CAGGGGTAATTTTTCCACGAGTAGTTGTAAATTGGCTGTGTCCACGGGAGGAGGTGAGTTCAGAGTCTGCCTACGCCGCCATCTTGACTCCTCTCCCCAGCGTGTTTGCTGATTTATCAGACATTGTCAAGTGGCCATTCTGCCGCATGCTGTGAAGAGTATCACCAAGTCGACTTGTAGGAAAAGAACTTTAAGACACACAAGTGGGCTAGTGTGGGACATGAGTCATAAACCGATTTAACTAGAATGAGTGGAATTTGATAAGAGTGGGAATAGCTCATGCGTTCTGGAACAGACCCCACAACAGCTGAATGGTTTGAAGTAGGGCTTTCCCTCTCTGGGCTAGAAGACCCACTCTGTGTAAAGGTCACCATGTAGCCTCATTTTCCATGCTAACATCTAATTCCTCCTCAGGCTCACAGTCATAACGGAGGGCCCTGCTGCTCTAGGCATCAGTGTGACCTAAACTAGCACTGCTTCCTCTGTGAGTGGAGTGTGTGGAGGCAGGTCAATGCTCTGAACTCAGGCTTCATAGGGGAATTAATATTTGTGTTGAGTCCTGAAAAGCATACAGGGTTTGGGCATCTGGAAGGAAGAAGAAAGGCATACCTTATGTCTCATAAAATTTTTTTTTAATTAAATAAATGGTGTATTAGTCTGTTTAAGCCACAGTCTGGGTGGCTTAAACAACAGACATTTATTTTCTCACAGTTCTAGAAACTGGAAGTCCAAGATCAAGGTACAGGCAGGGTTCGTTTCTCCTGAGGCTTCCCTCCTTGGTGTGTAGATGGCTGTCTTCTCCCTATGTCTTCATGTGGTCGTCCCTCTGTGTATGTTTGTGTCCCGATCACCTCTTTTTATAAGGACACCAGTCAGATTGGATTAGGGCCGACTTTATGACCTCACTTTTACTCAATTACCTCCTTGATACAGTCACGTTCTGAGGTACTGGAGGTTAGGACTTCAACGTATGAATTTGGAGCGGGGGCACAATTCAGCCCATAACAAATGGTTTAATTTTTTTCCCTCAGTTGAAATCAGTTCAGCAAGGTTCTATGATTCTAGAACTTTGGGGGTGCAAAGAGAGTCTATATAACTAGGCTCCTACATTTTCCATTCTATTTTATGGCAGTCAGCCACACATGGGGCAACTCACCCCAATCCTTGAGTTCCAGTCTCTCTTGCATGGTTCTGGCAGCCAACATGTGAAACAGCTTCCTCACGATAATGGAAAGCCACACAGGACCTGCCCATTCATGTTCATGTGAAGCTCCCAATGGTGCCCCGCAGTGGTTGTTTAGGTTAGGATGAACATCAATGGTCCCTCTAGACAAGGTAAATATTTGTATTGAGTCTAAAATAACTTTTGGACATTTTTGTTTTGTACAGTTTATTTGAAAGATGATATTGGGCCTACTATTTTCCAAATACTTTAATTTACATAATTGTATTGAATTTTAGCAACAACCTTACAAGGAGCAAAACGTTCAGAGATAAGGTAAGAAAACTGAAGTACAGAGGATTAAAAAATTTTTCTGCTCAACATTGAACTACTCCAAGTGGCAGAATCAGTATCTGAACCTGCATCTTCTCACTCCGAGTTCAACATATGGTACATTCCCATCTTAGGAGGTGGAAAAGAGAATCTTCCAGAAAGTTCAGGCTGGTTGTAATGTCTGGTTGATTTGATTTGGAATAAACAGGACGTTACTTTTTGTTACTATATAGGAAGGTTATCAACACCAACTCAATGTCATCATTAGAAAGAAACCCAAGTGAGTACGCTTTCTGGGTTCATACAGAACCCAGAGAATCATCATTTCAATGTAATTGCTCTTATTTGCATGTCTTGATCAAATTGGTAACAAAAATCTGTTTAATTATGTTAGGAAACGAAATTTAGCCCAGTTTTAAAATCTTAAAACATTTAGTTTTGCTTGTGTGGACGTTTAGGTGCAGATGACCAGGTTCTAGTTCATTTCCTTCCCTGCTTTTAGCTTTGTGACTGTGAGCAGGTCACCTCCCCTCTGTGCCTCCCAGTTTGCTGGCCTATGAAACAGAGGGGAATAATAACACGTGATGTTGTAAAGATTAGGTGGAATGATAATGTACCTTGGACACAGATCCCTGGACAAAAATAGAGATGCAAACCTACTAGCAAGAGATTCATTCAGGGAGCTTCTAAGTGGACTACACTCAGCAAGAGAGCAGAAGCTGGATGCTATGGTAGCTTTCCTGCCGAGGCCAGAGCTCAGATTTGTAACTGATGCCTCTGACATCATTTCAGGAATGTGCTCTGCTAAAAGATTCTTCTTGTCTCCTTTTTCTCTTTTCCCCACAGATGATCTTAGTAGCCATATTTTCAGAAACTGGATTTTTTGATTATTGTGCTGTAAAGGTAGGTTTGATGTGGCATTTAATAGTTACGTATTAATTGACATATTTATTTTCTATTACATATTTAGTGAATAAAACTACCATTTAAAGCAAATATTTTAAAATTCCATCCTCCTTTTCAAAATCAGTGCTGCAAGGCTGGGTACAATTGCTATGCTAAATGAGGTGGCTCTGAGCAACACTTTCATCTTCTCAATATACAACTGAAGGAGGAGATCAGGAAAAGAGCTCTTGACTTGAATGTTTGTGTAACATTATTTAAATTGGCAGGTTAAGAGCTACACATCAAAAACTGTTTTGCATTTTAGAATATCTAAATATTTCAAGTCATCAGCTTCTGATTGCTTTTTGGTGAAATAATTTCAATGATTACTTTCTAAACATTGAACATATAAACATCCACTTTTATAACTGGAACCCTGGGGGATCCACCAGCAGGTTCTGACTGCCACGATTTGCACTGGTCCTTCACTCAGGGTTGGGGAGAGGAGATCTTGCCGTGCCCTGCTAATGCAAAGGCTAGTGCTGTGCTTGATTTTTTTTTTTTTAGAATTGAAAACTTCTTTTAAAAAATTATTTGCTCAACAAAGCCCTTTGCAAACTCTGAATGATAGAACCATGCTATGATTTTTGCCATCTTTGTGCACCATCTTACACCTTCCAGGTAAATATCTAGCCTCTTCCTCCCAATACCTTGGTACTAAAAGTATTTCTTAGATTCCCAAAGATCAGCAGGTTCTAGAGTCATATGGATCCCAAAGTCACAGCCCAGGCTGTCTAACCAAAAGGAGATTGTAAAATACTGGATGATGTCAAAGGGATAGAGGGCCATCACCTGTGACAAATGAACCATCACAGGGCACTGTGAAGGAGGATCAGAGGGAAGGAATGTAGGCCAAGCTAGATTTAGAATGTCTAGGTATGGCCATCACTACCGTATCTCAGCAGACTTAGAAATCCGTGGGTCTAAGTTTTAATCTACCATGCAGTGTTTATTCGGACCCCTAGCTCTTAGAGTCCCTAATGAAAAGTCGCATCTATCTTTTGACCCTGCTGATCCTGGCTGCTCCTTTCTATGTGTGTGCGTTCCAGGCGTACCGACTGTCCCGGGGGAAAGTGTGGGCCATGATCATCATGCTGTGTCTCATTGCTGCCATCCTTTCTGCTTTCCTGGACAATGTCACCACATCACTCCTCTTCACTCCCGTGACCATAAGGTATGCAGAGTGCCCCTCATGGGTGTCAGGCCAGGCTCACAGCGGCGTGCCCGCCCCTTCCCTTCCTCTTGTGCACCCACGTCCAGCCAGCGCGCTCGCCGGCACTGGCGCTCTGCGTGCATGGCTGTGGCAGCAGCGGCTGCAGAAATGCCTGCAGGAGTCAAAAGACTCAGGCTGACTGTCCTGCAGGGACAGATATTAGGCACCGTCTCTCCCCCTGCACTCGGGCCGCTGGGCTGATCACAGGCATGGTGGAATGAGAGCTCTTGCCGGGTGGTGGGGAACGTGGGGCAGCCATCTCACTCTTGCCGGGCTCCTCTCCTGTGGGAGGCTTGGAGAGTCACGGGACCAGCTTGGGCAGGCTTTGTGGGGTAAGTCTGGGAAAGAGATATTCAATTTTATTCAGTTCCATTTCTTTTAATTCCATCCACTTCATTCGTTCAGTATTTACCAAACACCACAGACTAAAGTTTGTCTGGAATCTTGAAGATTGAGCCTCAGTCCTGGTCCTTGTGCAGGCCCCTTCCAATGCCATGGACCTACATTTGCATCCATACTTTATTTTCTTTATTTTAGAGATGATTCCCCAGCATATCCTGGTCCTTCCCTGCTTGGCCCTATCACGGCTGGTGCTCGGCTGGTCCTGGGGAGATTGAGCGGAGACAGGTGCCCCCTTGGGGGTTCAGGGGGTAGTGAGGGGTCTCAGAAAAGTCATTTCAGCTGCACTGATCTGGGCTGTACCATCAAAGATTAACCTGAGTTAGTGTTTTGAGGATTCCGCAAGATAAGAGACTCGCTTGAACAGGAGGCCAGAGACACAGGGCAAGTTCCAAGTTACCAGCAACAGACTACTTCCAGGGCTCAGGATTAATTCTGGGTGATGCCTTTGGCATTTGAAGAGTGGAGACTCTCAGAGGAGGAGTGAGTTGGAGTGTGGGGTAGGGAGAGGAGGAGGAAGGGTGGAGAGGAGCAAGGCAGTGCCCCCCCGTCCCCAATGCAGCCTGCAGTGTTGCAAGTCTGTCTCTTGCCCACGCTCCTGCAAACTTGGCTGCATTGTCATGCCCCGTGTGCAGACAGGGATTTGGGGTGAGGGATGCTGGACTCAGCCTTCCTGTGCAGAGGGGCGTAGCACCTCCTAGTGCCAGGGTTCTTCTGAGGGTAAATGAAGAATGGAGTGAACATGTTTGAAGGGTGCTGTAAACAGTAACATACACTACTAATGGCAGGTACCAAACCCTGCCCCTGGGACACCTCAGGGGGCAAGAGGTAGGCCATGCCCCACCCTCCTCCAACCAGTGCAATTCTGCTGCTGACACTGGTTTGAAAACCATAGTACTACCCACATGTGCCAGATGCCAGCACATCATCCTGCTCTCTGATGGCAGCCCACTGAGAGCAAGTTTCCACGGCTGAGGAGTGCTGGGCATCTGTATTCCTGGTATCCTTGTACAGCCCAGACAACTGAGGGTTGTCTCAACCTTGCTGGGATTTGTTTATATCCTCACTCTTCCGGGAACTGGCTTTGTAATTTTATGTGAGAGTAGCAATTCCATTTATTAGTCTAAAAATTACTTCTCTCAAGACTCAATTGTTAGTGTGCTGGGATTCACTGTTTATATTACCATATTATTCATGACTTTTTAAGCTTAACTGCATTCTTCTGCCTTTGTCTGGATTGAGCAGCATTAGTCCTTAGAGTTGAACAGCGAGGCCCGTTTAGTTTGGGTGCCATCTCTGTGCATGGTCTGGTGGTGTTATTAGCACACATTAGTTATTTTCTTGCTAGAAACAGATCCTGAGAGCTTCCTCAGCTGAGACCTGATGCTGCTGCTGACTGAGGTCTGATCGTCTTTTGTGGACTCCCTTCTGTCCCTGGTCCCCAGACACCGCTCCCCCTCAGCTTCCACACAGCTCAGGAGGCCAGTCCCCCTCAAAGGAGCTGCTGGCTGCTCTCTGAGCTAGGAGGCGGTGGGAAGGACCCAAGAGTGCAGCAGGGCCTCCTGTCAGCCTGGAGACACAATGCCTGGTTTCTGTATGGCAGTGGGCAATGCACATGGGCAGGTGTGGAAGATGTCATGATGTGTTTCCTAAACTTTCCTTAGAGAAATGTTTCTCAACTGGGTGCTCCCTGGACCTACTTGGGGAGCTGTAGAATGCTGCTGCCTGGGCCCACTCCCAGGAATTGGTCTGTCATGGGCCAGGCAGCGGGACTTTCAAAGGTTCCCAGACAAATCTAGTGTGCAGCCAAGATGGAGAACCACTGCTGTAGAGTGCGTGCTCCTTCTCTAAGGAAGTCCATGGGTAGTAGTTGAAGGGAAGGGGCAAGGGGACAGCTTAGGGCCTAAGCATCCAAGAAAGGGAAGGTAGGTAAGGGGCTAGGTTTTGTGTGAGCTTTGTGTGAACCACTGGGCGGTGGTGCTTTCTGCTCTGGCCCCATCCCTGACTTGGAGAGGTCTGATGGCCAGTGCCCACTCACGTGTGCCAGGACCTGTCCTCCAGTGGGGGCCTGCACACAGCAGACTGTGCCCCCTCCAGACCTGCAGGGGGTGGAGCGGGGGTACATTTTCACACCGATGGTTCAGATGGGTTGTGGGTTAAATTTTGGAGAAACATAATTCTGAGAGGCAGCTGTGGCCTGTAGCTCTGTAGTGTTGTTGCCATTGTCTGTTCCCCAGCATTGCTCTTCTCACTGATGTGTGTGTGTGTTTGCCTCCCTCGTACAAGCAAGTGCTTTAAAAGTATTTAGGTTGCAAACGGGACTCTCATAATATTAATAGTGGGACTACTTTCATTTTCCTCCATTCGGGACAGATTATGTGAGGTGCTCAACCTTGATCCAAGACAAGTCCTGATTGCAGAAGTGATCTTCACAAACATTGGAGGAGCTGCCACTGCCATTGGGGACCCACCAAATGTCATCATTGTTTCCAACCAGGAGTTGAGGAAGATGGTATGTACCAGCATAACAGGGTTTCTGCCAATAAATATAGACCTCAACTTACTTGCCCACTTAGCATCCTACACAACGTGGACTCCTTTATTAGAAATCAAGCCCCTCTATGTCACCCTTTCATAGTAAGTGCTACTGGTTATCTTGAGAGTGGGAGGTTAGATGACTGATCCTCCAATGTAGAGTTAAGTGATCTGAACTGATTTCATTCTCATTCTGATAAATTTTTAAGGAAATGTTTGGATAACATATCTACTTAGTCATAGTATACAATATTAATGGGAACTGAGGTTTCTTCCAAGTAATATTAAGAATAAAACGATCTGTCTCCTCTCACTTTTCAACCGTGGTGGATAAATTCACTCATGAAGAGCTTAAGATTTTTTTTAAAAAGGGTCAGAAAATGAAGGTATTTATGAATTTTTTTAAAGCTCATAAATATTAATATATAATTTCTTTGTACACTAAAATAAAGACAAAGTATTAAAGAGAGTGATAGTATTTTACATATCTTAAAGAGTTAAAATTAGAACTATATAATTTTCATTTATCATTCTTTGGTCATTAGAATTTTCTCAGTATCTCTTTTCTGAAGTATCAGTAAAAATGCTTCCAAATTGATGTCATTTATTGTAGATGATATGTTTACTTATATGGGTCCATGAGTGTGTCACTGTGTGTGTGTGTGTGCTGTCTTACATAAAAATATTTAAGCCTTTGAGCATTCATGATTCTAAGGTGTTGATGGCCATTTTGTGAGCCCACCATGTTCTAGAGATTCGGGGTATAACTTAGATGCTTTAGCTAAACTTCAGTACTCCCTGGTTACCCTGGGAAACAGCCCGACAACACTTCACCAGTCTTACTGCATGAGCTGAGGAGTATGGCCACAATCATGTCACCCTAGAGCACATCAGAAGGTGGCAGAGCCCTGTGAGCTGTCTTGGGTATCACCCAGGTTGGGCCTCATACACTAGAGAGAGCTATTTTTAAAGAAAAATATTGTTTTATTATTTTTATCCTACAATGATACATTTATTGTAAAAAAATAGAAATCACACAAACACAGATACACAAATAAAACTGTCATAATCCCACCACCCAGAGATAAATACTCTTAATATTTTGGTGCATATAGTCTACCAGAATGTTTGTATGTGGATATACATGGATAAAAAAAGATAGCACATCTTCTGCTCTGGCCAAGATGGAGTAACAGGGACTGGATTTACCCTCTTGCTTGAGACAGCCACAAAGAAAATAAACCAAAAACCAAAAATGCACCAAAACAATGATAACCAAGATATTGGACATTAGTCAATAAAAGGACAGTGATCCCTGAGAGATGGGATACAAATGAGGTGAGCCCCATGATGCACCAGCTCACTGCCTTGAGTTTCCAGGATGCAGTGCAGGGAGAGAGAACCCATCAGACTCCTTGAATGGGAGATAGAACTGAGAGTCTGGAGAGACCAAGGTATCTAGAATTTGCAAGACAAACTACTAGAGAGGAGAGAGCTGCACAGAGAGAGAACCCCAGAGATCTGTAGAGGGAAGCTACCCAAGGCCAGGGGAAAAACAACCCAAAAAGATGAGAGGGAAGAGTGCTTAACAAAGACAGGACCAGGAACAATGTCTGTTCCTGCCAGCAAGACTAGGAACCTTTTAATTCATGGGGCATTGAGTAGAGTACTCAAAGGGTCTTGCTTTGTATTGGTGAGTAATTGGCTCTGGACTGAACACTGCTCTGGTTCTATCTAATAAATATTAAAATCAAGACCTGAAATAATTAAACTGTTTCTCAGTAGTTTAACTGCATCTGAGAACAAGCCTCAAGAGTATTTACAGGAATAAAAAAATATCCAACAACACACAGGGTAAAATTCAATGTCTGGTGTCCAATCAAAGATTACCAGGCATGCAAAGAAGCAAGAAAATATGACCTAAGACAAGGAGAATATGAACCATTTGAAACCAACCCAGAATAGATACAGGTGTTAGAATTCACAGACAAGGACATTAAAACTGTTATTAGAACTGTGTTCCATCCAGATGTTCATTAAATTAGCAGAAACATGAAAGATATCAAAAAGGCCCAAATCAAACTTCTTGAGATGAAAACTATGTCTGAGATAACAATACTCTGCTTAGGATTACTGGCAAATTAGGAATTGCAGAAGAAAAGATTAGCGAACTTTAAGACAGAGATCCAAAATAAACCAGCGTGAAAAGATAATAACAAGTAATGAAAAGCTAAAAAAAAAAAAAAAAAAAAGGTGAGCTAAGAGAAAACTTCAAAGGCCTAATATATATGTAGTTCTAGTCTCCAAAGGAGAGAGAGAGGAACAGAAAAAGACATTTGAAGAAAAAATGGTCTAAAATTTCAAATTTTATGAATGATATAAATCCACAGATTCAAGAAGTTCAATGAAGTCAGAGCACAAGAAACATGAAGAAAACTACACTAAGCCACATCATAATCAAATTGTTCAAAAACAATGATAAAGAGATAATCTTTAAAACTGCCCCCCCCAAAAGGCATGTTACATACAAAGGAACAAAGATAAGGATGACAACATTTCTCTTTAGAAACAATGCAAGTGAGAAGATAGTGGAGCAACATTTTTAAAGTACTGAAAGAAAAAACTGTCAACTTAGAATACTATACCCAGTGAAAAAATATTTTTCTTATATACAAAAAATAGACTTCTTATATATGAAAGCTAAAAGAATTCATAAATAGCAGACCCATGTGGTAAGACATATTAAGGGAAATCCTTAAGGCAGAAGGAAAATGTCACTAATGGAAACATGGATCTCCACAAAGGAATGAAGAGTACTGGAAGTGATAACTACATGGGTAAGTTCATATACATTTTTTATTATTATTTAAATCACTTTAAGAGATAATTAAACAAAAATAATGCAAGAAGGCATTTATAAGGTAAGTCGGATGTATGACGATAACATAAAGGCTGGAAAAGGAGAAATTAAAGTGCACTAATGTAAGTTTCTTACACTATATGTATATTAGCATAACATCACCAATTATACCATATTGGTATAATACATCAAAATAGTCAGTGACAAGTTAAAAATATGTACTATAAACTCTAAGGCAACCACTGAAAGAAAAAACAGAATAACAGCTAATACGTCAACAAAGAGTATAAAATGGAATCATAAATAATATTCATTTAATGCAGTGGAATGCAGAAAAAGAGGGAAAATGAGGAAAAGAACAGATGGGATAAATATAAGGCAAATTGCAAGGCTTAAACCTAACTATATGAACAATCACATAAAATATAAATATACTAAATATCTAACAGGAATAATTAAAAAGCAGGAATTGTCAGATTGAACAAACAAGCACAATTCAACTATATGCTGCTTACACACACACTTAAAATATAAAGACACAGATGGGTTAAAAGTAAAGGCCTGGCAAAAGACTCATCAGAAGAAAGCTGGCATAGCTATATTAATATCTGACAAAGTAGAGTGCAGAGCAAAGAACATTAACATGATAAAAAAAAAGACATTTCATAAAATGATAAAGGGGTAAATTCATAAAGAGGACACAGCAATTCTAAACATTTATGCAACTAATGACAGAGCTTCAAAATACATGAAACTGGAAAACTGCAAAGAGCAATAGAAAATTCTCTATTATAGTTGGAGGTTTCAGTACACCTCTTGCAATAATTGATAGGACAGACAGAAAATGAGCAAGGATATATAAAACTTCATCATTATTATTAACTAACTTGATTTAATTGACATTTGTAGAAAATTCCACTCAACACCAGCAGTGTCTGTATTCTTTCAAAGTGTATACGAAACACTGACCAAAATAGACCATATTCTGGGCTATAAAAAAATCTTAATAAATTTAACACAAATATGTTCTCTGTTGAATTACCACAGTTGAATTAAATTAGAAATTAATAACAAAGATATTTGGAAAACCCCCAAATATCTGGAAACTAAATAACACACTTATAAATAATCCAAGGGTCTAAGAAGAAACTGAAGTTGAAATCACAAAGTATTTTGAATTGAATTATAATGAAAACAGAACATATCAAAATTTGTGGGATTCTTCTAAAGCAGGAGTCAGCAAACTTTTTCTAAAAGGCCATCTAGTTAGTATTACAGGCATGTGGACCATATGGTCTCTGTTGCACTTACTCAACTCAGCATGTAAGCAGCCACAGACAACACAAAAAAGAATGGGCATGGCTGTATTCCAGCCTGCGAGTGTAGTTTGTTGGTCCTTGCTCTAAAGCATTATTTACAGGGAAATTTATACCGCTAAATACCAATATTAGAAAAGAAGAAATGTCTAAAATCAATGGCTAGAAAGAGAAAAGCAAATTAAACTAAAAGTAAGCAGAAGAAAGAAAATTACACAGACCAGAATGGAGAACAGAAAAAAAAAAAATAGAGAAAATCAATTTAAGTAAAAGCTGGTTCTTTGACAAGATCAATAATACTGATAAACCTCTGGCCAAACTCATGAGTTTGGGAAATAAGAGAGAAGACACAAATGACCAGTATCAGGAATAAGAGAGGTTACATCACTACAGAGCATAGAGACATTAAAGACGTTGTTAGGGATTGTTATGGGCAACTCTATGCCAATAAATTTGACAACTTAGATAAAATGGACAATTTCCTTGAAAGACACGCTTTACCAAACCTCACTCAAGAAGAACTAGTGGCCCCATATCTATTAAAGAAATTGAATCTGTAGTTAAAAACCTTCCCACAACGAAGAAAACAAAACAAAAAAACAAACAAAAACCAGGCTAAGATGGCTTCTTTGGTGAATTCTATCAAATATTTAAAGAAGAAATGATGCTATAATACCAATTCTACACAAAGCTTTACAGTAAGTTGAAGAGGAGAGAATACTTCACAACTCATTCTATGAGGCCCTGATACCTAAACTAGACAAACCTGGTATAAGAAAACTATTGACAAATATCTCTTAA